TTCTAAATTTGGTAATAATTTAGTTTAAACTTACGATTGCATCCTTAATGAGAAGCTTTTATAACCACACAAATACTATGGGCCCATTTTTGACTTGTTTAGGATTACAAATTCCAAAAACCTTCATTTTTTCTTAAACTATGTGTCCAGTCAAACAAGTTCACATAAATTGGAACGGAGAGAGTATATATATGTTCAACATCAGGGACTTCAGTCTTATAGAGATAAACTTCTGTAGTGATTTTGTTTAGTAGTACTCCCTGTTTGATAGGGAAAGCATGGAATCCCTTGTGCCTACTTCCTCTAGAAAGTTTTGCTTTAGAAATTTATTTTCTTAGTTTGTGATACTTAGATAGCTAACTGAGTTACGTTGTAGCTAAGATGTGACTTTGTATAGTTTTATACCGGTGATTAATAAAATTACTAATAGTTACAAAAAGAGAGAGAGAGAGAGAGAAAAGGATAGATATCATATGAGTATATTTAATTAGATATATGGTACTAACAATACTATTCATAATTTAGACAATTCAATAATTGTGAATAATAGACTACAAGTTTAAAGCAAACAAAAAAATATTTTAGGAGAAACAAAAATATATATTTATATTATATTAAAAGAAGAGTGGTGAACAAGGATACTAATTCCAGATATTATTCATTTTATTACCTTTAAGGTGACACATAGTGTTAATTGTAAAAAAAATTACTTTAGTAATGTATGAAAGTTAAACTCATTAAAATAATAATTGACGGTGATAATAATTTACACCAATTAGATTTAGATAGCCCATTAACATAACTCACAAGCTAATTTGATTTACAAAGTAATTTGTACGAATGTAAATTATTACGCGTTCAATTTAGAAATTAACAAAATAAAGAGGCAAGATAATACTCAAACTCACTGATATTTTGATTTAAATTTAGACTTTTTGACTAACGTACTGTTACTTGAAAAGTGGGTGGGGATTTCAACTCTTTCTCCTTATTAAGAACCTAAATCCTAGGTTATGTTTAAAACATGCACACATATTCCAATAATAGGTCGATATGTCCGAGTGGTTAAGGAGACAGACTTGAAATCTGTTGGGCTACGCCCGCGCAGGTTCGAACCCTGCTGTCGACGTTCATGCAAATTCCTATTTTCTACTTTTTTCCTTTTTTCTACCCTTTCCTTTATCCGTGTTGGTTTTGGGAACCCTGTTGTCGACACTCCTGCAAATTCCTATTTTCTACTTTGTCCCTTTTTTTCTACCCTTTCCTTTATCTGTGTTGATTTTGTTTTAAGCACGTTCTAATGCTCTGCTTTCCTTAATTGCTCCCTCTCCATTTTGAGGAAACTACACTATATACCTATAAAAACCAAAATATTTACCCATTTTGAAAATAGTTACACTATCTACCTACCCCACCCATATTAATTACCCGACCTTCCAACCATTCTTTCTCTACAATTGTATAGTTTAAAGCTGCCTTATATGTTCCCCTACTTTTCTCCCTATTTTCTCTTTCTTCCTTTTATGACATCAATTCATTTTCTACTTTTTCCCTTTTTCCTACCCTTTCCTTTATCCGTGTTGGTTTTGGGAACCCTGTTGTCGACACTCCTGCAAATTCCTATTTTCTACTTTGTCCCTTTTTTTCTACCCTTTCCTTTATCTGTGTTGATTTTGTTTTAAGCACGTTCTAATGCTCTGCTTTCCTTAATTGCTCCCTCTCCATTTTGAGGAAACTACACTATATACCTATAAAAACCAAAATATTTACCCATTTTGAAAATAGTTACACTATCTACCTACCCCACCCATATTAATTACCCGACCTTCCAACCATTCTTTCTCTACAATTGTATAGTTTAAAGCTGCCTTATATGTTCCCCTACTTTTCTCCCTATTTTCTCTTTCTTCCTTTTATGATATCAATTCATTTTCTCCTCATATTCTTCGAACGATAGTAATTCCTTTTATTATAAAATTCTCTCTTCCAAGCTCGTCGGGTATTGGGAACCCAATAAAATTCTCTCTAAGATTTCCTTTTATTCGAAATCTTTATCCGTGTTGGTTTTGGAAACCCTGCTGACACTGCTACTAACATATATCTACCCCTGAAGAACCTTGAAGCATGAAACTCATATATTGGGTTTGTTGAATTTGTAGTTATTTTGATCCAATTTTGTCTGGGTTTGTTTGAAATATTAATTGGAGGTTGTAGCTAAACATTGAGCGAATTTAGTGAAGATTTCGCACTAAAAATTTTAAATTTGGGTTAAAGCTGAGTTGAACTGGCAAAAAAGAATTTGTATTGTATACCAAAATGGTATACTATATACCATTTTAGTATACAGTTCTTTTCAACATATTATAATGTAATAGTATACTATTACAATTTAGTCCTTTTAGAACTTTTTGAAATGTTCATTGAGTTCTTTTTCAACTTTTCAACGGAGTTTTCATATTTTTTTATTTTTTTCTTAAACCAAAATATTTAGTTTGAAATATTTGATTGGCGATTGTGGCTAAAGTTTGAGTTAATTTGGTAAAAATCCTGGAGTAAATTTTTGAAATTGAGTTGATCTAGCGGAAAAGAATAATTTGTACTATATATCAAAATAACATACTATATACCATTTTAGTATATAATATTTAATTTTCAATAGTGTATAATTTATTGTAACAGTATACTATTACAATATATGGTGTAATGTAACTATCTAGTTAAATTTGGTATTTTTTTTAATTATCCAAAAAAAATTCAATGGGTTCTTTTTCAATTTTTTAACAGAGTTCTCTATATCATATACCCTATCAGTATATATGATATATAGCATGTGGGTATCATAATTTACTGCAATAATATACTTCAACTACTACTAATATATTATTTTTTATATGCTATATGCTAAAGTAAGTTATTTATAATTAATATAAAAAAAAATAAAACAAATAAAAATAACAAAAATAAAGAAGCCAAAAAATGTGTGCAGAATTAGATTCTGAAAAACAAAAGGAAAATAATTTGAAATAATAATAAATAAAATTTAAAAAGAAAAAAAACAAAAAAAAAAGAAAAGAAAACAGTTATAATGTATAAGTTGTTCTAATAATTGAATTAAAAAAAATAAGAAAAAAAGACAAAATTTATATTATACCAGTTATATTTATAAAAAAAAGATGAACAAATATTTACTATATCAGTTACCTTTTCTTATTTTATAAAAAAAGAAGAATATTAAAAAAAAAGCAAAACAATTAAATAAAATTAGATTATGAAGAGAAAAAAATAAAAGAAAAAGGAGTAATGAAATTAGAAAAGGAACAAGAAATAAATAAAATAAATAAAAGAAAAAAGAAAAATAAATAAAGAATGAGCAAAAATTGAGTGTGAAATTAAATTATGATAAAAATAATAATAATATGATTTGGTCAAAAAATAAATGAACCGAAAAGGAGAAAAAATAAAAAAAAAATAAAAAGAAAACGAGAACAGAGAAAAGGAGAGAAGAAAGAAAAGAAGGAGAGAAATAAAAAAGAAAGGAGAAAAGAGGGAAATTACCCACAAAAGCTTCCATGGATACGAAAGGTAATTAGTTTGATGGGTAAAAAAGTAAATGGGTAAGCAATGGTAAATAATTTCGTTTTTATGTGTAATTGGGCCATTCACCCCTCCATTTTGTTACTCGATCGGTTCACAGCAGGAAGGCGCATCTTTTTCTCTTCCTAACATTGAGCAATTGTCATATTCATATCCGATATCCGAGGGCTGTTCAAAACCGAACTGAAACTGTTAACCGAACTCAATCGATAGCTTATTGGCTTATTGGTATCGGATTATCGAGGTAATGGATGGTGAACAGATTGAGATTTTATAATTAACGACTTAACGGTTTGGAGGAGGATTACTCAATTTTCTTATCGGGTAAACTGTTAAACTGTTAACCCGTTAAGAATTTTTATATTTACACTTTTACCCCTATGTATATAGAGTACTATTGAAACACTGTGGTAGTTGATTCTACTCTCTAGCGATAAAGTCTGATGTGGTAGTTTTGCCGGCATTATCAAGGCCTAAAAACAAGATCTTAGACTCTTTCTGCCACAGACCAAGCGATGCGAGAATTCCATAGAACCAATCGACCAAAAACATCCTTTTTAAATTGATTTTGATTGACTACAAGCCCTAAGATACAGATTTAAGAACAGAGACAAAGGTGTGATGGATCGAATGATATAAGAATAAAATGTGTATCGCAATCTCTCGATGGATTCAAGGAAGAATCTTTCCTCGAAATGGTAGACTTTATCGCTAGAGAGTAGATTCAATGTAGACTTTCTATTTTTATTCTTCACCCGTTTGGTATTAACTGTTCAAAAAATTTCTATTTAGTTTAGCCGATAAACCGCCCGATAACCGTCTGATAATCGTTAATTTGATACCAATCCGCTCATTGTCTTATTGGATGGCTAACGGATTACTACATTTATAATTCGATAACCGATAAACCGAACAATTGAGCGTAATCATCCACCTAATTCGCCCGATAAGCACCTCTACGGTATCCCACTGAATGACAACTAAGAATAAAACAATACAGGACGGGTACAACCTTTCAGCAGCTGATGTGTCCGCACTTGCTATCTAAACTCGAATTATATATAGCAGAAAATTGAGAACACACACTTCGACCCAATTGGCTTGTAATCCTAGATTCCGTCTGAACAGAAATCAGTCTTACACCATTGCAAACTACAACATGCGCCGAATTGTTTTTTGTTTGGTTAATGTTATACGCAAGCTTCAATAGCTTAACGGTGATTGATATCTGCAAAATAACACTCTTAAATTACCCTTATTGTTATCTAATGCAATTATTTTGAGCATCTTCTTTTATAAATCATATGAAAGGACCTCGTCAACCACCGGTTGCAAAGGATGGAACGCATAGTTAATAAAAGGTTGCTTAGTGGTTAGTTGGAATTCGGGATGAAGGCGTTCAGGGAGAGACCGAACAGGAAGGATAAGTGCATTCCTTATGTTTCTTCTTCCTTTCTCTTTTATTTCTGTAAGAAATATCGCAGCCCACATTTGAATTCCTGACACTGTTGGCACAATAAATTGAATACAGTTGCCAGTTCATTGTTGAAGACTACTCCAAGGTAAGGGAGTTATAGGGCGTAAGGATAAACCACAACCTGCAAATCTGGACGCAGGCAAAAGGTAAAAGTAAAACGATTCCCGTATAGAGCAACCATCCAACCATAGCACCAACATCCATTCAAATCAAATTAACCGATCAAGCTCACATGAATCGATGTGCTATTCCCATTCCTCAGTCTATCAAGTGGTAACTTCTTTCAAATAATCAGTTACCAGATCTCCTTAAGAATGCTAGTACGCCTAAACCCGCAACTAATGCAGCACCGGCTGCTACAGTGCTGTAGGCTGAAGCCCAAGCAGATTCTGTATGAGCATAATCCAAACTACTGGGGCTTGAACCCCTCCGATGGCCAGTTGTTCCTGAATAGTCCAGATGCAATTTTAGCCCCTGTTCAGGTTGATTTCTGTCATCAGTCCTTACATCCTATTCAAGATAAGATGGAAACAACATGTAATAACTAGGCAAAATATATTGACAGATCCTTAAAGTTGTCCACACTTTTCACTTAGACATTCAATCTTAAGTCTATTCCATTTATACACTCTAACCACATCTCAAATATGTCATTTAGATACAAAAAGCTGACATGGCAAGATAAGTGTTCTCACATTTTTCAAGCGCGTGNCCACCCACCCCGACCAATCTCTGTTTTCGAAAAACACTAAGCTTAGGCGATGGACATTGATGAAATTTTTCCAGAACTCTAAACAAATGCTTCCTCTCTCTCTTTTAAGAATGCTAGCTCTTTTGAGTTAGTTTTGATCAAACTAACTGATGTTAAAGCAAATTTTATGAAGCTACTCATGATTTTAGGCATTTTTTGCTCCGATTTTCAAATTATCATTAACATCTCTTCTCAAAAAATTATCTTATTTTTTAATTTAGAACTGGGTTTTCACCAATGTAAATGGGAATGATCCCGTAACTTTCCTTTAAATTTATGTAATTGGGTTCAATTGCCACTTGAAATCTGTAAGTGTATTTGGAAATACATTTATCACATATGCAAAGAATTTACAGATCATCAAGGAAGATTAATACAGAGTATTCCAATATATATGTTTAGATTGTTAATTTGTAACATGAAATCTTAAACTTATTAATTTCATTGTCTGCTTCCACACTTGACAGATCTAGGGGGGAAACAGTGGCAGCTGAGAGTTTCTTAAAGGAGACGAAATAGGGAGGAGGGATTGCCGGGGATTGGGGAAGAAGACAAAAGGAGGGGGGTTCGTCGGGGAGGGGGGGGTGCGTTCTTGTTTTTCTTTTACTCATTTTTCTTTTCTTTTTTCAAAATTTTTTTTAAAAATTTATTTAAGTTAAATCCACGTGTCCGTATCTTATTTGTCACTTTGGTATGTGAATTACACGCATCTTTTGTGGTTGGCTGCCTATCAAGTTTGTGTCTAAATGACACATTTGAGATGTGGTTAGAGTGTTCAAATGGAAAGAACTTAACATAAAGTGTCTAAGTGAAAAGTGTGAACAGCTTAAAGGGGCTGCCTATGTATTTTGCCTAATAACTAATCCTAACTCAATCTTCTTTCCTGGTATTAGGGTATATGCTCATTCAATCAACTAAATCATGCATCAAAACCCAGGGCCAGAGGAAAGCCAATCATACCTTCCAACCTGCAGATCTTGCATGGTCAACAGCTGCTGTAAGATCACTATCTGACGCTAATACAACCTTGTCATGATCTTCATCTTCATACTGCAAGAGAGTAATTGCCTTGAATATAATAGTCAACTTGCTCAAACAAGGAAAACCAAGAGGAGAAACATTCAAATGTACGAGGAACTTAGTGCATTCCAACCAGAATCTGAGGAAGATTGTCCCGGTCAATGTCATCCCCCACTCTCTGAATGATTGCAGCTATTAAATCTGTCATGTTCCGAATATCTGAAATATAGAAACATTAGAGCCATAATGAAAGTCAAAATTATCATAGTGGTTGAATTATGAGGGAGAACAAAGCAGACATCCTATCAATTTCCTAGAATTAGTTTCAACAACATATCCAGTATTTTCCCACACAGTGAGGTCTGGGAAGGGTAGTGTGTACGCAGACCTTACCCCTACCTTGTGAAGATAGAGAGGTTGTTTCCAATAGACCCTAGGCCCAAAAAAACATAAGCACCACACTAATGAAAATATAGACAAGAAAAGGCAGCACCAAAAAGCCATATAAAAGCAGAATAAAAACAACAAGATAGTAAGGTGATCAACAATGAAAGAAAACAACGGTTAGTCATAAAAACCTACTACCAACAGAAAGCGAGACTGCGTGCCAATACTACTGTTATGAACACTCTTAGACTACCTACTCTACTACCCTAATCCTCGACCTCCATACCTTCCTATCAAGGGTCATGTCCTCTGTCAGCTGAAGTTGTGTCATGTCTTGCCTAATCACCTCTCCCCACCTCTTCTTTGGCCTATCTCTACCTCTCTGTAGGCCCTCCAATGTCAA